TTCAGTTACGTAACTTTTATGAAAGCACGGGCTGGAAAATTTACAAATATACATGAGAATAACGATAAGAAAAATATCGATCGATATCGGTATGGAAAATGAACAAAAAATGTTACTTTAAGATTAGTTTCGAACTATGTCCGAGTAAAGGTCATAAAAAAACATCGCTGCGTTACGAAAGAATGATACATCGATACGTCAGTCAATGAAGCTTCTCGTGAAAAGCACATTCTGAAATTGATGAATTACTTTGCAGTAAGTAATCATACAGCTACGAGGAGTTGAAAACTTTGCTTTCGAGCGGAATCGCTCTATTCGCGTTTGCCATCGAAGCTTTAGCTCCGACTCTAAAGAGACGTTTTTCCAGCCCGTCATTTCTACTTATTTTTATTGAATCGACGATTGTTCAGCTGAAAGTGGCGCATCGAGCCGGCGCGGCCCTCCTAGAAATGCGACGAGGAAGTCTTCCTTCGTCAAAGACGGACATGACGGTGTGTTGTCGTTCAAAGGGACGGGCGGATAGCAGGCTGTCAGAATTAATTAATTCCGCCGGCGCTTCTCCACCTCCCGTTTCTTTCAGCGCTGTCAGCTCTCTCTCCCCCCGGCTCTAACCGTCGCATCCGCACGACAAGTCCTCTAGGCCGACGTCGGCTCGCCAAGCTTTCTCCCTCGTGAAAATCGCGACGAACCACGAAAAAGCGTGTCCGCCCGAGCGAGGCGATCGCGATAATTCCGCGCCCGACGACACGGGAGAGAACTCCCGCGAGATGATTTTTAAAAAGAGGGGCAAGGCGGTCGTAGATAAAGAAAACTGGAAGTAGGAAATAAAAGAAAGAGGAGATAGGTGGAAAGGGCTGACTAGGAAGGTCGGGAGCGGCAGCGGCAGCCGGAGGGAAGAGAGCGGAATGAAATTTGCATCGCAAAATCCTACTGTTTACCCCGTCTCACCCTCCGTATCTCCCCCCGCAACCACCGGCTCTCTCTTTCACTCTGTGAAGGAGAGGAGCGTCGAGCTATACGTATATATATATATATATATATATATATATACGGGGTAATGACGGTGCTCGGTATTCCGTGAAGAAAAGGAGGAACGTCCATTGGACAAGCGGGACTCGCTTCTGCGTCGTGGATCCTGTTTTGTGTCTCGTAGGCTTGTTTGTTTTGCACGGGCTATCGAATGCACACAAAAGACCGGTCGCTCTCTCCTCCTTGATCCACTTCACAGATACCAAGCCCTCGCAATCTCCCGCTTGTTCCTTCCTTCAACCACTGTGGCTCGACAAGAAAAGGGACCAAGGTAGTGACCTATGAAGTAGGGATTTTTAGGGCTTTAACCGCCGCAACCGTGAAACATTTATCGCCCGCGCTTAATGTAAACAGGTAATCAAGCTGCCATTTTAACCGAGTAATTGCTTTTGAATATTTATCTGTTAACCGATTCCACATGTTTTGTAGCGAATCGCGCTCTGATTATGCAAAGCGAGATGTACGCCCAAAATGCTCCCAACAATATTTTGTTTTGCTATAGCGCGATTTAACGATGAAATGCTTGCGATAAAAACGTAAAATTTTAGTATCACACTCGTAATAATTTGCAAAGTGAAATTGATTTGCAAAGTGAGATTTGCAATGCGGTTTATGTGTCGTTCGGTAGAAAAAAAAGCATGTCCCAAAAAAAAAAGATGCTTGTTCTATCTTTAACCCAGTCTGCATATTAAGGAGAAACTTGAAATGTAAATTATTGACGCGATATCGCTATATAGGTCACGTCATGTATATTACCAGATATAAGCCGAGACGAAACTTTAGTACCGGATATAACTTTCCGCCGTGAATAAATCTCCGTCTCATCATAACATTCGCCGTAACATGTTACACCGGGAATTTTCCATCTTACCTGCGTCACAGACACGATCGGCCGTGAATGCGCTGTGCCTATCTCATTTTCTTTATTTCTCCCTTTAGACGAATTTTGCAAAATCATGCGACCGTGGTGTAATAGTCCCACGGGCGCAGGTGCTCAGCGGATGTTATCGCGACGCCGTGGCCTCGGAATCTACGTAACGCGATCTCTCTTCTGGACAATGCTCGTTAACGATCGATAATTATAAATAATTAGTGAGGCGAGGCGTGCCTCTTCGGCAGTGGGTGGTCGACAAAAATCCAATGACCAGAGATGTACTCTATCGTGAAAAAAAGTATTGCACACGAGGAGCATTAACGATCCCACGTGCCGAGAGGCTACTCGTTTTTCAGCATTGAGCCACCCTTCCTGGGTTTAAAGCACGCTTCCATTATCTTGCTTGTTACTCGTGTAACTTCAGCCGGAGCTTCGCCCGTTTCGTGTAATACGCGTACACGCTGAGTTTTGCTTGCTGAAAGCTGCAACGTACCCGATAGCTTTCCATTCTCGAGCTCCATCGAGTATTCAAAGCAACCTATCTGGAGTTCCATTATAGGTTTTGGTACATACGTATTGCTGTATCTTACAACTTCAATACCGAGCGCAACACTTGTTTCTGACGGCTTTAGGGCCTTGTTTGTATTCTGCGCTTATATCTTAGACGCGGCACGAAAAGCATATAGAATCTTGACGGAAGAGAAATGTGTATATTACTTATAATGCGATATCGTAATAAATATATCAGCAAAGCGATTTTTTAATAGCAGCGTGATACAGTTAGATTATTTATTTTTAATTTATTATTTGGAATTTATTATCTCAATGATACTGTAATATTCTATATACAATTGTGTAATACTGTTAGAAAGATTAGAACATTTATATCATACAAAGAAGAAACTGAATGTTTCATAATTAAGAATCAAGTGCAACAGTTGCTTTAAGTATAGACAATTAGAAGCTTAAAGTGGCTGCCTTTCAATTATTTTTCGTCGTGAACATTCTCATTTCTGCTTATAATTAAATTCTACTATACATGCATGTTTCTCTGTGCAAACGATCAATATATACATCCACACAATGTTCTGTGTAGAACATTGTGTGGATGTATATATTGATCGTTTGCACAGAGAAACATGCATGTATAGTAGAATTTAATTATAAGCAGAAATGAGAATGTTCACGACGAAAAATAATTGAAAGGCAGCCACTTTAAGCTTCTAATTGTCTATACTTAAAGCAACTGTTGCACTTGATTCTTAATTATGAAACATTCAGTTTCTTCTTTGTATGATATAAATGTTCTAATCTTTCTAACAGTATTACACAATTGTATATAGAATATTACAGTATCATTGAGATAATAAATTCCAAATAATGTAAATGTCGCGCGCAAAATAACTTGGTGATACGAGCGTAGTTTCTAAGAAATATGCAGGGATTTATGAAGAAGAAGTAGAATGTATAAAAGAATAAAATAACAAAAATACGCGACACAACTGCAACTACACTAAACAAGTACAGTAGCTGTTTTTAAATCAAGAGTTAAATGATGCATCAGACAGTGCAATGTCGAAGATTTTGGTGAATTAAGGAGAGATTAGCTTAGAAATGCAACTTAACTTATGGAATAATATGAAAGAAACTAACAACTTCGAATATACATCGCGCACTTGTGTGGAGGAATTATCTCGATGATTGAGAATGTTTGTGTCACACTGCACCGCGTAACTGCATTCGAACGTACCCGGCAGTTATTCCCAGATTCGGAGTTTCGCAATGGACGAATGCCTAAAATTAATAATACTAACGCTGGGGAAAAATAATTTCACCTCCGGCGAGGTGTAAATAATGCATGAGGCGTGACGCGAAATCCGTGCGGTGGTTGCAGTTGCAACATATGGAACGCGCGTACTTATACCGTATCCCGTGTGCGATGCATATGCGCGCGATACAATTGCAGCTGCAGCAATGTAGACGCCGCCGCCGCCACTCTCGACCTCCTCCCTGAAAACGATCGCGTTTACTAATAGCCCGGTGCGATTAAAATTTCATGCCCCGTGGCATAGTAATGTTTCCACTATTCGTCGACGACGTTCTCGTACAGCCCGTGCATAATCCGCGTGCGAGTGACACGGATTATTCATTGATATCGCGATGCGCGGACGACACGACTAATCTCAGAGCGGCCGCTTTTTAAGTAAGTGCCACTTGGACGATTGTAAGCAATTTTATTTCACGAGAGCAATATTTAGGGGACCCGATTTGTCGTGCGAAATAGACCTCTTATCGCGCAGATTGTGCTCGGCGTAAAATGAAGACGAACGAGAAGGGCGGGTGGAGAGCGCTATTTGCAAAAATGATAACAAATGCCTATGCCACCGTGCCGGCGCGATAAGAGTTCCGCTTTGCACGACAAATGCAAGTTCTAGCGATGATATTTTGCATAAATACGACCGTTACTGTATGTGCCAGGAACAATCAGCTTACATAAAAAAAAAGGAAAGAACGGTTTAGATTTGTTGACGGGAATATGAATCGCATGTTGCATACATAGAGTGCATATGTTTTTATGCTTGTCGGCCGAATGTTGGATTGCGTAATTCGCCATTTAAATTAAGCATGACCTATGAAAGATGTTATCGCGTATGTAATATTTTCTGAATTCTTTTATTTAACCGGAGAATTACTTGTTTTATTATTGGGCTGAAAAAATGTTTCGAGAATTACATATAAATATTCACTCTATCACTTTAACGGTAAGAGCTCGTTACTTCCCTTTATTTTCTGCCGGTAAATTTACTATGACAATTAATTTCATCCCGGCGTCCCGGCTACAATACATTTCCACGATAACAGCCGACACTATTTTCATGGTCGTTGCTCGAACCGAAAGATAAACTTATCAATGAGACGGGACAACAGGCGCTGCGATCGCATTAAACGAACGTATGAGCGGGAAAAAAAAAATAGCACTTAAGATGTCAGTTATTTTTTGACTCGAATCTCTAAACATTTTTGTTCACATTGCAACATACTCGATGGCATTTCCGAGGTGTCTGTGGATGATTAACACGGATTGCTCTGTGTTCAGGACACCGAGGCGAGCTGTAACCACCTTGCGACCATCACGATGCCAGGAACGTGCTTGATGACCGATGCGGTCAGGACAGTGGATAGTTAGTGATGAGGAGGAGCAAGTTATCGGCGTGCCGACGGCCCAGGTCACCAGTAACATGCCAGTCCTCGATCCCAGCGCCGATTCAACTCCACTTCGAGGACTTCTGATCGCCATCTTCGTCCTATTGTCCCTGCCGCGTTGTCGCTGCTCGGATCTAGGTAAGTCGAATCGAAACTCGCAGACGCGTCATATCTAAGTTTTATGACTTCCGAAAAGTGCCCGGCACTCCTTTGACCCTTTCCAACTTCCGTCACTCTCTCACAATCTTTTTCATTGTCCCAGAGCGCACTGTCGTTGTGCGAAGTCAAAAGGTTGCATTCGACGATTGAAAATCTCATACGAGGCGTCCCGCGGAGATCGCAAGTTTCCGAGAACAAAAATGCCTCTCCGAGGCAAGTACGAACGTGCGTCTCGCGTATTTATAATTCTTCGGAAACAAAGTTTTTTTATATAAGAAATACTTTAAAAGAACAAAGAAAATTTTTTTTTCATATAAATATTCAAGATTTATAATTTCGTGCATTATGATTTTTCAAATTATTCTAATTTAAATTTAGTTAAAATTAGATTATTGTTGTGAACATGTAATGCTTGTAAATATGTCTAAAAAGTAGCGAACTATATAAAGGGATGTTACGGAGAAAGTTATTTTATAATAAACTCTCTTGCAGACAATACATTTATAAATTAATTACAATATCATCAATTCACTGATCATCGGAAAATTATTCAATTGTTATCCTTGAGTTTCATTATTTTTTTATTTAATGCATTGCAATAAAGAAAGTACAAATTCTAAAATTCTAGGCCTACCAAATATTATGATAGAAGATTCTAAAGCATAAAAAAATGAGTAAAATGTATATTTTAACATTCTGGCCTATTTTTTTGTATAAAATATAAGATTTCAATAAAAAAGATGAGAGATTATTAAAAAAATATTTAAAATTAAAAATTTCAAAAATGTTTCTGATAAAATCTCTCGTTGAAATTTTATATTTTAAACAAGGAAATAGTCTAAAATGTTAAAATTTACATTTTACTCATTTTCTTTATGCTTTAGAATCCTTTATCATAACATTTGATAGGCCTAGAATTTTAGAATTTACATTTTCTTTATTGCGATGCATTAAATAAAAGAAACAGATTTTTAAGAGTTAATTTTTCTTTACGCTAACTATTAAAAGATTATAGCAATAATTAAAGATATAGTGCTAATAAAGAAATACATGCACAAACAATTCCAGATCTTTTTATACGAGCGGAAAAAGCATGATATCTGCCGCGAGGATGCCGTGCGTATTAATTTTTTTTCTTCTCTTGGCACTGGAGCGTGTGCGCAATAATGCCGTACCGCCTACACACCTGGCCTCACCGAGGCATTGTACCCTCGTAAATGAAATGTCAGCCGCACGATGAATTAACAATACTATCTAATAGCTGCTCAGATGCAGACGAGCGAGCGAGTTGTGCGCATTGTGCCGATTCGTTCTGGTGTACCGCGCGGTTCTGACTCTCGCCAGGCGTTGTTTACCGCTCATCCGATATATTTTTATGCAAATTAATTGTTGCGTGCAAGAAAATGCTGCGTAAATGGAGATATCCGTAAAAAGAGAACACGTTAGCTTACATTTGCTCGTATTGATTAAATTCTTTTTATGTACTATTCACGGAATAAGAATAACTTGGAGATACAAATTTTAATGTATACAGAAAAAACGTTGCGAAAAGTTGTTATAAATTTGTAAAAAAAAATCTTTAATATATTTTCCAAATAATCTTTATTAAAATATTACTAAATTATTATTAGATTTTGTATTTATGGTTTCATAATTCTTCCGTATTCAGAATTATGTATTTCTTTAACATCTATATATCATGCTAATAATTGATATTCCAAATAGAAGTAATTAATGCTGTCATAAATATTAATTATTAATTATCGTATTTGAATACGTTTAAGCTCTTGGCAAATCGGACTGTCAATCATGTCACAAATCATTGGAATCGTTCATTATCCTGCATGTTGCGTGAAAACACATCGAGTCTAGAATATCCCAATATGTCAGCTTGACTTATTGCTTTGGGACATGACACTAAAGCTCGAGTTCATAGCCGTTATCGTCGTATACATTGGATATTCAATGCACACGATACACTATGCACTCTTGTGCACCAAAGTATTATATAAACGCACAATTTTAAAATACATATCATAAATTGCCACGAGAAGTATTTTAAATACAATTAATATTTAGATATTGCAAATAGAGAGAGAGAGAAGAGGAAACGATCGAATATATCTAAGAATGCCTTGGTATTCTTCATATATATATACTCGTGTTTCATATATCTATTTTGTCGAGAAGACAAACGCAATAGTTGACTAACCACGAGTATCTTGTTCGCATAATTTTCGAGTGCCAAACCTCGGGTGCACAAGCGGTGCGGCTCGCCAGGTTAGTTCGATAATTACAGCACAGTTCATCTCATTCGCACTATGTCGCATTATGCAGCATAAAGGCGAATACTAGGCTGCAAATATGCGATCGAAGTTGTGCAGCTCGGGGATGAGTACTACAACGTTTATTAGACAATAATTTCATGCACGCGCTGCGGAAACATAACGCAATTTTCTCGGCTTCACTTTTAAAGTCTATTAGAGTATGTCACCACTTTGATTACTATATTTTGCATACGTCCTGATCAGTGTTTCTCCTATTTTCATAAACCTGTTATATCCATAACATCAAAGGCGCGATGTAATATGAAATATATTAATAATTAGACTGATGTCTCGCAATATTAGTGATAATTTCGCGCACTATGTGTATATAATAATTGTTTCATGATTGTTAAGCAATGATAAAGAGACGTATTCTCATCCCCGGATCAAGTAGAAAGCGGTATAAAGAAAATGTAATAAAGTCTAATAATAAGCGAAAAGGACGTGGACTTTTATGAAAGAATGCAAAGGACCCGGTTTGTAGCGCACTAAAAAAGTCATAACTTTCATTTGTAAAATTTTTTAATAAAACAGCAAACACGATGGCAGAAACTTGTGCTAAATGGACCTCGTTAAATGAGTCATATACCATTGCCAACCATTTTGCGATATATTAATCGTTCTCGACGGAGAAACTATTTTTCTGCAGTCTGCGAAATTTAGTTTTGCAATATTTATATTCTTAATCTCTAGCAGCCATTTTATCACACATTTCTGCAATAACGAATTCTTGCATTCCCTTCACAACTGTAAATTTATTTCTGTATCGCTCGTACTCGCAACTACGTGTTACACGGAGAACAGATATAAATGCTTAAATCACCATCCACACGATCGAAAATGTTTACCACGAGCAGATTATCTCGATTGTCGCAGAATAGTTGAAATTTTTTATGTGTTGATCGATCGCGTGTATTTTCATCTGTATATTTCTGTCGATTATCGTGCAACCTAGTTAGCAAAAATTGAGAAACGCAAGCAAAATTATGAGTGAAATCGCGAGAGACTTATTAGATTGCGATTTAACTACCGTAAAACTCGTGAATATGTGAGAAACACTGCAATTTTGCGCTTGACATCTTTTAGACGTATCGAACGCAGATTGTAACCGCGCTTTACTGCGACATACCGGACGAAGTTTCGCCGGTATAATGGACGGTAGGTGAAACGTAGGGGACAGTTACAAACACAAACGAAGTTTTGCTCGCGGTAATGCCGGCTCATGGAGACCATAGCCGGGCCGGTAGTAGCTCCGGAGGCTGGGCTAATCCCACGTCCGCTGCATTCTGCAGTTTTGAAACTTTCCCCCGTAACTGCAGTACCGTAGTTTAAGCGTAGTGACGTAGCGCGCGCCGCGCCGCGCCGCGCAGCAAGGTATGTACTGGTCGGGCTGACTCCTGCGGATTCGAGAATTTATCATGTTCCGCATACATACCGCGGCATTGTCATCGACGGTGCCATTGGTGGCTGATATTCCTGCTATCGATTTTTCCCGGCGATGTCGCGGAGGCATTTTATACGGCGGAAAAAAAAAGAGATATCGGAAAGCGTCGTTTCATTGACATCCTGCGCGAACGTCGGCAGCGTTCATATATTATTTTTACATAAATATCTCTTTTCCGATGTTCGTATATTTATGGGCGCCGAAATGAAAAGGGAATGCATGCATGAAGGAATCCTCGTATCTAACGTCAAATCAAAATGTCGATAAGATGTTCCGAAGGGACGCTTCATTTGTATATCTTTCTATCGGGATTTGTCTTGTAAAAATAAAACAAGAAAAGAACGATCACATCAAACTTGTCATATTAGCTAACGGATGGTTTACATTGTCGCATTGTTTCCATCGATATCTTAGATATATATCTCGAGCAGTAAAAACAGCACTAACGTAGTATATGTAAAAAAGAGACCGCGAAAATAGAAGATGCGAATGTCCTCGCTACAATTCTAAATTGCTTCCCGTGTGTGTTCAGCGAAATACGAAGTCACATGTTTGTGGTGACCGGCATTTCGGTGACCAGCGAGGATTTCGTTGGAGAGAATTGCACATTCCTACAATAGTGCTGTTAGCGGTGGACGAAATTGTCGAAAACGAAATTGTTAGATAAACCAGAATAGAACTATCGAGAATCTTTGATTGCGACAGAAATATGAAGATAAATATGAAAATGTGAATACGTGGAATTGTTCATCCCACGATCTCAGCTGTTGAAAGCAAAATCTTTACCGGAACAATGCCTTATAATTATCATCATCTTCAATCCGAAATTTTCATTCTAACACACGGCGTTAACGAAATAAAGATTGATATCGAATTCTGCCTAATGCCATCGTGAATTGTTTCCAGGACAATGCACCACGGCGTTGGGCATGGAGAGCGGAGAAATCCCCGATGAAGACATCTCGGCGAGTTCTATGTACGATCCCAGCCTCGGACCGAAACATGCCAGGTAAGAGAGAACAATCGTATCGCAAAGCTGCCGTCAAGTGGGGCGACCGTTTTGATATCTCGGGGAAACGAATATTCGGCTTTTGCAAGCATCCAGTTTGATGTCACTTACCGTGATTGCAGCTTCTTAATCGTAATTCTCTCAACGTATTATCTTCTTCACTGAAAATTTGAATACTTCTCATTTTCCGTAACAATTACAAGTTACGTTATTTAAATTTATAATTTTATTTTTAGAATTTTTACTCTTGTTGTTGGTAGTAAATATTATATAGTAATAATGATATTAAATTACTACTCTCTCTCTCTCTCTCTCTCTCTCTCTCTCTCTCTCTCTCTCTCTCTCTCTCTTTGCTGTCTGTTCGTATTTTTCATCATTTTGCCGTTGTTAAAAACAGTACACATTTCTATTAAATTTGGAATGTACATTTTGGATGGTTTGTCTAAGAATTTAGAGTACGCATCATAATTTGTGCAAATAATTTATTGCACTTTTTATACTCTTTAATTAATTATAAAATTGTAGTTTACCCTGGGGAAGAGATTTTGAGATAAAATGTAATGCAGCACATGTACATCGCGCGTCTCAGGTTGTGTTAGAATTAAATTAGGTAATTGCCATCCGCATCACACTGTAGTATCGAAATTCTTTTAACCTCGCAATGTAAATCGCGTGACACGAAGGAATGCCTCGCGCAATGGCATTAGCGAACCGGCTACGTGGTTCACTTTATTTCTTATTACAACGCCGAGATTAAAATCGCTGGGTAGTACAGCGTTTGCGCCCCGCGCCTTAGGTGTATTAAAAATTTAAATAACACGCGGCCCCAAAAGCACGGTTGTAAAAGTCTCTTATCAAGAAACGAATTAATGGCGATTATGAAAGGATATGGAGGAATGAAAATCTTTTAGTTTGCACACGCGGCAAATAGCATGTTAATTTTATGAAGAACATCATAACTTTCTTTTTATTTATGACGGCGTTTTTTTTTCTTAAACCACGCTGTCTACTAATAATTATGATTTTAACAATTATAAAATGTTTGCGTACTGTGCAAAATTCTATTATAAAATTTCCGTGTTTTTAGAAATATGAGGAATGGTGAAATAATTATGAGATAATTATGAATAGCCAGACGCGCAGTGCAGAATGCACCGCTGTGGAAATAAAACGCATTAATTAATCTAAGATCGAAGTTGAAAAAAATTAAGATTGATCGCCTCGATGAAATTGGAGGATTATTATCGGCGATTAGTGAATACGATACCTTCACACTTCCATCATTTAATAACGAGTTCTCTATCCGGAGCACGTAGACCGCAGAAGCGAGCTGTATGTCGAATGGATCGATCTCGTCGACGATACGCGACAATTTACGGTAGGCTCTTTGTGCCCGCCGAAAACCGTGACGCAATCTTCGATAATAACCGGTTTCGTGTTTCGATACTCTCGTTAGGATGCCGCCAAAAACAACATTGGTGACAAAAACAAAAAAAAAAGGAAAAAAAAAGAAAGACACTTTTTGGAAGACCATCGGCGATGAGATCGTTCGTCTATCGTAGGCCGCGCGCAGCAATTAAAAAATTTTAATTAAACCGCCGTACGCAGCCGATCAACCGTGACGTTTTAATTAACGATTTATTCCATAAATCAAAAAGCGGCCTACGCGTCTGCATATTTCGAGGTAGAGATAGCCCTCTCCAGAGAGTTACGTCCTTCGAGCAAGTCGTTACTCGAGAGTTTCGGGATACACGGCCGCACACGGGTCCGGCACGATGTAATAGGGGATAGGGTAGTAGCGGCCAAAAGGGGGTCGGAGGCGACGGCAGCGGTGGAAGGGGTTGCGCTCGACCCCTACAAATTACCTCCAATTTCGTGTAAATTCCTCGTGCCTGCGTCAGCATAATACCTGTATTAGAACGCCTGGCTCCGGCTCTTAGGTGGCAATAAATCTGTATTAGAGCAAGGCGCCGCTCTCCCGCTCGCAAAAGGGATACGACACCCCAGACCGGTTAATTTTTCAGGGCCGCGATTCGTCCGCCATGTTGTCTACAAGATTGTCCACCGCGCATCCCAATGGCTACAAAATATGCCTTTTTAATTTGGAAAATGCACTTGTTTGTGAACGCTATTTTATTCTATTTTATCGTCACATTTGTACACGGTATGAATTTTTGCACGAATACATTTTAATCAAACCGAAAATAATGCTATATGAAAAATTTATTTCATTAAAATTTATGTATTTTTTATCATTTAAAAAATGTTTTAATCCAGTTAGAAGCATCGTGAAAACGCGGTCTTAATGCGTAATAAGCTGCAACCATAAATTGCAATTGTACAATTGCGGGTCTCCGGTTCTCGTTGGTAATCACTTTAGAAGTTCTCATCGCGATAAAATCTTTTCGATGTCACGAAGGGTGAGTGCTCGAAACGAAGACACTCGTGGTATTTTCACTTAGGCTTGAATCTCTAGTTTCAATCGTAATAGTGCAAGTAACGCGTCCAAGTAACTGATGCCTATCGCGATACACGTGATATCGCACCCGGCATCCGCGATAACGCGAAATGCATCACGCTAACGCACGATTATAATTATAGATGAAAGATAGATTTCCATTATGAGGCCGAAAGGCTATCCTTAATGTGAAGGGCAAAGGACTCGGATAAGATATTGCTCCGCCACGCCGCTACTTCGTGGAATATGATACAACGTTATGCGCGTAGCGTTAAAGTACTACATTTCAAAGTACACGTACTCGGGTTCTCGGCGTAACGAAATTGCATCGTACATTTTATTAGAGAGGGTTGCGACGGGAAAGCGACGCTGCGACATTTTAAAGTCATTGTTATCCATTCCGCCGGCTGGGTAAGTAGGATGTGCATAGTAAATAAATGTGAAAACGTAATTTCCGCGCGTACCCACGTAATACCTACGTAATACTTTTAACGAGCCAATTAGTTCTACACGACATTTTGTCCCTTTGCAATAGGCTTTTCTGAAATAACGTATAAAAGGTCTAGTTTATTATTTAATTTATAATTTATGCATTCTCGTTTACATTAGTTCGAAATGTCGTGGCTTACATTAAGTTACATTTTTATCTCTCCCTCTTAACACGCTCTTTGCGCGATTATGATCGAGGTGGGTGGCAATGACGACGAAATGACGATGCAAGGGCGGACAATGAGAAAGCAGTGTACAAAATACAGAAGGCAAAGTCGGGACGGTGCGAGAAAGCGCGTTCACGCACAAAGAGACACGATCGATAAAGGTCTGGACGGAAAAGTGGACGGTTGCCGGTTGTACGTGCAACGAAAAAGTTTTTCGTTTTCGTGTATGTGGCGCTCTGGTGGCCATTCGTATCGCTTTAGAACTGGCACTGGAAAGGAGGCGTATGAGGTGGCAGCTCGATGTAAGAGGCGGGGAACGGGATATAGAGACGAGGAGGGAGAGAGAAAATGGGGGAGAAAACGAGAAAGTGAGTACGCGCGGAGGCCCCAGGCGTGACAAGCCGAAATCTTCGACGTGCGAAGGAGCGGCGGGAGCAGAAGAGATCGCGGGGACGAGAGGGAGGGCCAGAATCACGCGGACATAAACTGTCCTACGCCGTTACGTGTGCTTTCAGCAGCCGAAGCCGAGGAAAAATGGTAGCCATATTCTTCCAGCCTTCGAGCCTGGCTATCTTCCACTTTGTTACGATTCGAAAACCCCCGTGCCTCCGGTAGCTCTCTCGTTTCGGTGATTTATGTAACACGACCTCTCCTCCCCCCGGGGCGTATCTTGCTCGTTTTTTTCTCGCCCCCCGTTTGTATCGCTCGAACGACTGCGCCTCCGTCGCCGCCGCCGCCACCGCCGCCGCCGCCGCGTCGTCGTCGTCCTCGTCGTCGTCTGATGGAACGGGCACTCGGATGCGCCCGTATCGCGCCACCGAAATGCACCGCGCGTTTCGCGGCTTAAGCCTCGCGTTCGCGTGACGACGTACTTTCGTGGTATAAATCTTGCGAGGGTTGGAAAGGCGCGCGCGACCGCGCAGCCCTGAGCAGCGGCCTACTCCGTCTTACACGGCGCTGATATTTCCAGTTCCGGCCGTCCGTTCTTCTGGCACCGGAGCCAAGAGCGGTGGAATTCTTCTGATAAACGAAACATGCATTCCGCGCGACACGCTGTATTTACGTGCAGCACGCGCAAAATACTTTTTGGCGTGGAGACGTATGCCCCGGATGCGCCTTGGAGAATAGTTTGAAAGCCGATGCCGTCATGAGTATTTTAAAGGAGTGGCTGCGCGGAGAACAGATGCTACTTCTAGAAACTTCTGTGAAATTGGACGATCAATACGTCAACAATATTCTTTCTCAATAAAGATGTGTACACATCTGCTCGTTACATTTGCTACTACTATTGGATATTACTTTTATCGTAAATATTTCTAAATGTCACGGTTTCTATTTTTTAAACCCGAGAAGTCTCTTTCTCTTTCTCTGTGTCATTTCTGTTACTTACGGATCGTTTCATTAGTATAATACTCGTACCTCAGAGTACACAAGGATGATTCGCAGTTTAAAGTGAATGAAATTCATTCGGATGAAATAAAGTGGGACAAATGATTATAAATGCGATAAGAGTCTTTTGTAGAGAAATTTTGCCTTTGCATTAACAATCGTCGTTAAGCTATAACTGGGTCGCCGCGGACCTCATTCCCTTATTCATTTGTTTGCGACGAAGATGTTATATTTCAGCCCTTTTTTTGTCGCGCAACTTCGAAAGTTCGCGTTTTAAGCTAACGCGCCCGAACGCGTGTTTCTTCGCGGAAAGTTGTTCGTTAACGTTCCGAATTCTTCTGCTAACTTCTTTTTAAGATGCTTCTGATGATCGCGCGAAAATATCTCGCATTCTTTAAAATATCAGTGCAAGAGGCGTATCGCGATATCGAATTTCCATGGAGAAGTTGAAGCAGTCGATCTGCCTCAGAGAGATATTATTCTGTCGTATGCGAACC